GACTGATAAAGATCTTCATAGAATATGTAGGAGCCAATATGGGCATCCGGGTTACACTATTTCTTATTGACCGGAGAGTGAATCGGTCATGTCTACATAGTTCTCGAACCCATAGGGTCCGCATGCTTAATGTTCGTTGACGATATAGTGTTATATGAGTTATATGATTTGGTGACCGAATGCTGTTCGGAGTACCGAATAAGATCACAGACATGACAAGGAGTCTCGAAATGGTCGAGATGTAAAGATTGATATATAGGACGATGGTATTCGGACACTGGAAGTGTTCCGAAGTGCACCGCGTAGTCATCGGGTCACCGGAAGGGGTTCCGGACACCCCCCCCCCCCCCGGTAAGTGTATGGGCCTAATGGGCCAAAGGAAGGGACACACCAGCCCACTAGGGGGCTGGCGCGCCCCTCTCCTTGGATGGCCGGCCCTGGGGGGAAGGACGGGGGAGGGGTGGCCCCTCCTACATTTCCCTCCTCAGGAGAGAAAGGAAAGGGGGGCGCCGCCTCCTCCTTCCTTCCTCCCACACTTATATAAGGAAGGGGGGCGCCACTTGGGGAGGACCCCACGTAGGATTCAACCTACTTGGGGGCACCTCCTGGCTGCTCCCTCCTCCCCCCCCCACCTATATATATGTGGGAGGGGTGCCTAGCACAACACAACATTGTCTTAGCCGTGTGCGGCATCCCCCTCCACTGTTTACACCCCCGGTCATATTTTCATAGTGCTTAGGCAAAGCCCTACGTAGATAGCTTCGCCATCACCGTCACCACGCTGTCGTGCTGCCAGAACTCATCCACTACCTCGTCGTCTTGCTGGATCAAGAAGGCGGAGGATGTCACCGAGTTGAACGTGTGTTGAACGCAGAGGTGCCGTACGTTCGGTACTCGATCAATCGGATCGCGAAGAAGTTTGACTACATCAACCGCGTTACTAAACGCTTCCGCTTACGGTCTACGAGGGTACATAGACACACTCTCCTCTCTCGTTGTTATGCATTTCCAGGGATAGATCTTTTGTGTGTGTAGATCTTTTTTGTTTTCCATGCTACGTTTCCCAACAAGGTCGATATTGAGTAATTCTCTCTGGGCTAGCGACCTTGGGGATTAAAAGTATAAATGTATCGTTTCACCCTTCTGGTATAACTTTGTTGTTGATAGCATATAGAACTTCTACAATAAGTGCATCACCAAGAATGTGCCAACATTTTTTGAAGAAAATCGCATGCAATCCATCGGTCCCTGGGGCTTTCATGTGCCCAATGGAGAAAATAGCTCTTTTAATCTCTTCTGCCACGTACGGTTTCAACAAAGAATCGTTCATCTCATTAGTAACTCTCAAGGTAACTTTGTCCAAAAAAACCGGGTCCGGTTCATCTACTTCAGTGCAGAACAATCCATAGAAATAATCAGCAATGTGGGGGTTCAGGTAGTCTGTACCCTCGATCCATGCCCCTTGATCATCTCTAAATTTAGTGATTATGTTTCTTGCCTTACATGCAGATGCAAAGTTCTGGAAATACGAGGTATTTTTGTCTTCAAACATCAGTCAGTTCAACCTGCTCCTTTGAGCCAACTGGATTTCTTCCATCTCCAACAAGCGCTCAAGCTCTACAGCTAGATCCTTCTGCCTCTAAATGTTCTGCGAAGATAAAGAATCCCTTGCAACTTTCTGCAGTTCTCTCTGAACATTTTTTGGAGGGTTTCTTTAGAATAGTTCTGCCCCATTTATGTAGCTCCTTGTGGACAACAGCAAGCCTTTCTGCAAGATTAGATGTACATTCAGTAGCTTCAAAACACTGCCAAGCTTGCTCGACAACCTCACGAAATTTATCCTCCTTTAGCCAGCGGGCTTCAAATCGAAGGACCGACTGTCACACAGTATCCTGACAGATCTCTTCATTCATGTTCATAATAATCGGCTTATGACCCGACTTGTAAAAATCCAAATGTTGTAAGACTGCCCCTGGAAACATCGAATTCCATCCATCATTCACGAGAGCACGATCTAACCGTTCTCTGATAAGGGCACGATGCCAAGTAAATTTATCATCGATGAATCCATGATCTGATAAGTTACACTCATCCACCACGTCTCTGAACGCTTGCATGAAGTGAGTTGGTCTTTAATTCCCACCTTCCTTCTTAAAAGAGTACATTATTTCGTTCATGTCTCCTATCACCATCCATGGCATATCCCCAATGGATTTTAGTTCCCTCAACCGATCCCAAGATAAATGTTTATCCTTCCACTTTGGCTCACCGTAGAACTCAGTCAACCTCAATGATTATCAGCCCCACTTCCAATAAACACATCAATGAAATTCTCCTTAATATCTCTGAGGGAGACTGCAAACTCTTTTTCCCACAACATTATCAAACCACCACTCCGGCCATCACTTCGGACAACATACTTATGATCCATCTTAGTTCAGCGATGTAGACACTCCGTAGGGAACTCATCCAGGTGTGTTTCCATTAGGAACATTACGTCCAAACACCTGCACTTCTGAGCATTCAAAAGCGCTCGTACTGCCGCAGCATTTTGCAGGCCACGACAATTCCAACTCAGTATCCTCATTGCAACCAAAAAACCTACCATATCCTGAACAATACGGAGGGACAAGAAACCGACACACCACCCTGCAGAGCAACGGGGTTGTGCCGGGACAGAAAAACAACTTCTCCAAACGTGTGTTGGGACGTGAGCTTTACAGGCGCCTGATCCTTTGAAGCAACCTAGAGAAACAGATCATAGTTCGCAGAAACAACAGCCCAGCTAACTCATCTCTTCTCCTCCTCTTGTCTTGCCATCAAGCTAGATTCCCAGGAAGGGCCCATGACCCTTGCCGGGGCAGATACCAGATAGGCAGCCATTGCTGCCGGCGGCGGCGGCCAAAACCCTAGTCGTGCTAGGGATCGCCTTTCTCCTGAAGAAAATGCTTCAAGCATCAAGGTTAAGATTTCTTGTCATGCGTATGTGATATGATGGCGGGTGCTTCACATCAATTCAAGAGTTCAACGGCGACGACTACGGTTCTGGGGCGCTGATCCTATGGGCACGTGCATGAAGATTTCTCGGCTGCCATCAACAAGGTCGGGCCGGCTTCGGTAGCAGAGAAGCGACAGCTCTTCCTGGCGGCGGTAGTGGTCGTTCGGTGATCCAGATCCTCGATGCAATCTTAATTATATTTGGGGTGCTTTGTACTTTTCTTGAACCTTTATAATATATCCGGCGCCTTTTCGCAAAAAAAAACATATGTACGTGAAGGGATTGAAATACTCCCTCTATTTACTTATACAAGGCCACTATGAGATATATGTTTTGCATCTATACAAGGCCACAAACATTAATCGAGAAAAGAATTAATGATATTTTCTCATACTAGCAATTTGTTTAATGCTTGCATACATGCCATCATAATGACACTAATTAGTTCCTCCATTCAATTTCCTTGCATGCATGTTGCGTATTAATGATTTCGGTAAACGAAAAAAAAATTGACCTGCAAAATATGGATTAAATTTTACCTTGATACCTGTAAAATGAGTTTATGACCTTGTATATAGAAATGAAGAGAGTACGAATGATCGCCGAATACAAGTGCAGATTACGCACGTGCTTACTTCGGCGTGCGGCGGACGCAGGTTGTATCTGGGGATGTCCATTGTCTAGCACAGTCAGACCTCGCGCCGCTCGCACGCACGCGTGGCCCACGTCGCGTGTACGTTTGGCATGGATAGTTGGCCGCTTCTATGCCGCTGCGCCCGCGCGTCCCTCGGACCACGTCAGAGATATCCTTTTGCGCCGCGCGGAAGCATCGCACCGATTTCCATTTTTCTTTTATATAAATATCGCATCGATTTAGCGCCGCATGCCTCCTCCGTACGCGGCGGCTAACTACTCCCGACCGAGACGGAATTCATGTGTCGAGGATTTGATTAACAGCGTGCTTTTTGGGGGGCAACTATTAGGATTAAAATCATGTGTTTTCACATTACTAAAATCGATTTTTAATACTACCTTCATCTAGGTGAATAAATCATTCGCGTAGTTCTAAGTTATCAATTTGAAGAATTAAATATATGTTATATGTCATAAAAAGTATATCACTAGATTTCTACACTGATGTAATTTCTAAATATATATTTTTTATCAAATATAATACATATTTAGATAGTTAAATCGTTGACCTAAAACTAGATAGTTAAATCGTTGACCTAAAACTAGATGAATGACTTATTCAGCTAGACGAAGATAGTAGTAGGAAAAGCCAATAATTGCTAAGAGTAGTGGAATTGCGGCAAACGCCTCTGAAAATAGCCTCAGATCTATTCCCTCCGTTTCTAAATATTGGTTTTTTTAGAGATCTATTCCCTCCGTTTCTAAATATAGATCTTTTTAGAGATTCTATTGGGAGTACATACGAAACAAAATGAGTGAATCTACACTCTAAAGATTCTACTGGGACTACATACGGAACAAAATGAGTGAATCTACACTCTAAAATATGTCTATATACATCCATACTTAGTTCATAGTAAAATCTCTAAAAAGACTTATATTTAAGAACAGAGGGAGTAAACACCAAAATCGACGTAAATATTCGCATATGCTTTCGTTGTAAGATTTGGCCGACCAGTTATATAACGATATTAAACAAGCAATATGGGAACATTTTTTTTGAACAAATATGGGAACACCCGTATTTGCAAGAAATACAATGTAGCAGAATCAAAATAGTTTACATCAGATTCAAACAAACATATAACAAAACAACAAAGCCAACCAGTCCTCAATTATACAATTATAAGAAAATCGTAAGAATGAGAACAGAAGTAAAATATGCACTCCAAACAAATCTAAACCAAGCTTTCAATCCAAGTCCGTACCAAGATGGCTGTGAGCAACACCGTTGATTGCTTGATACAGAGTATGATGGGTCCACACAATACGAACGTTTTCAAAGAAAAATGAAATGGTTACTTGTCATCTATAAACTGTCTTGCAGCTCACTGAGAGCTGCCATTCGCAGGGCATGCGAACTTGTCGGTACCGGTAGTCCAGCAGCGTGGCCGGGAACATCCTTCTCGATTAGAACACTGTTGTCTTCAAAGTCATGTGAAAGTTGCAGCTTTGATAAAAGCTTCCCCATATTACATGACAAAAACTAATTTCAATGGCACCCAGTCAGTCAAAGAGCACCAATCCAACCAAGCATGCGAGGTTATGCACACTCCACAATGCGATTATGCACAACTCACTCTTCCATCATCTATCATCTCTTTGATCCAAAAACATCAGATTGGTAAAACTTGCATTAGCTACGCTCCAGAGAACATGGTAACATATGCACATAACAGGACATTGGTGAGCTCTAGGGAGTCAACATGCCTAACTTCAATTTTTATTTCAAGAAAAATGGCATATTGCATGTACCAATTATTATAATGAACCGTCAACAAGGAAATTTGATAAGTACTAAGAAAGAATTAATATTGTTTCTACAGTGATAGCAGTTTCCCCTCAAATGTATTACCAAAATGATGGAAAGCAAGGTAAACAGACCATGGTCTGAACAGATCTGCCTAAAAAATGTTTAGCAGTCGTTTCACCAATACCAACAGAGGGGCGGGGGGTAATCTTTAATTGATGATGGGGAAATGTAGTGGAATTTGCTCTGGTTAGTTCAACAGATCTTTTTTTTTTTGGTAAGACCAACCAAAATACTGATGCAAGTCTGATGTACAAGTATCAATTTCTGATCCTCTGCTATCCCATTGTCGAGAATTTCCAAAACATAACTAACAGTGCAAGCTAAGTGCTCCTAAACATTACTTACGTTAGTAAGTAAACTAATTGTGAATGGAAGGGAAAATCCCACGTTGAAAGAATCTATAATAAACATATCTTAGATTTTATCTGAAAGAAAAAGCCGCCATTATCGAGCCATTAGACATTAACAGCAATACCCAAACTGGACATGAGTTAAAACTGAAGACCACAAACATAACTTGGACAAAACCAATCGAGAAAAATCAAGGAGTCTATGTAATACTTCACTGCAGATGAAAGACATCTAAGACAGATATATAGCTAGAATCCATTATAACAAATAGCAATTTCCCCTGAGTCCAGTGTCCACGACAAGCAAACAAATTTCAGGAGGGTATTAACAAATGGATGATCTTGATCAAAATCTGTAGAGATATGAAAAGCCATGACTCCAGTTGCCAACTTCACAACGTTTACCATGAGGCTGTGACTCAACTATATGGTCCCAAGGGGAAGAAACTTGAAACGACAGCAGCGACTACGGACACAGATGGACCCCAGACATTCAGACTGAAACTTGACGACGACGCTGAACCTTCTTGACCTCATTACTGTTCTAGGACTCACTGTAACATTAAGGACACGATATATAAGCCATGCACAAGAGAACACTGAGATAGGCAAAAATAATAAAGTTACTATTGAATAGAATTTTTAAGGCACGCAGTTTTTGGTTTTCTATAAGAAAAGGCACGGAAACAATAAGGACCATAGTGGACGTTCTGAATCACATACCTGATTGTCCTGATCTGTAGCCAGATCATCAGGACTGTTTGCCTGCAATGGCTTTTCTTCCCCACAACTTGGACGGTTGCATTTTGTCCGGAAAGGATAGTTTATGTTATTGCACTTTTCACACTTCCAGCTACCCTCTGGAGTCTTTGGTTCTGTTATGTCAAAGTTAGATGTATAACTGAATAGTGTTTCGAATATATCTAATAAACTAGTGCAAAGCTTTGACGCATATCTTGAAAAGGGGTTCCCCAATATTTACTGATAACAAGACAAGCAAAATACTTTGATATATGTGAAGGTAAGGGGGAATTAGCATGTATAATGTTTAACACTAAAAACTTACTTGGAGCTCTTGAACTGTCAGGTTTGGATCCCTGAAGGAAGAGTTAATATGTATGTCATCAGTACAGTAATACAACAATTTAGCTCTACAAACAGTAAAAGAAGCTAAAATGAGAAATAGATAGCCGATCCAACATTAACAAGAACATAAGGAAGAAAAATAACCATAACCAAATACACTAACAGTTTGCCCACTAATAGCTTCAAAATAATTGATCACACTCCACATAAGCACTAATGCACAATCTAATGGTGCAACTGCATGACAAAAACTTGATGCCCATTGCCAGGTGAATGAGCAACCGTTCTTGGTTTGGTTCGAAACAGCTTGTTTAAGTTGTAATGCATAGGGATTTTAGATATGCGCAACCTATGAGAATTTAGTAAATACCTTTTTATTTAAAGAATGGTTATCAAACAAGTGGTGAAGCTATTATATAAATAAGACATGTATTACCATGCAAAAAGAACTGGTGAAGCTATAATGCCCAAGAAAAGTCCAAGTATACATATACATACACTGATCAACAGATACATAGCAAATATGTAAATTTGGTCAAATCACATAGAACAACATCTCACTGAACAGTTTTTACACATCGCATATACTTCAGACAGATGACTAAGCTTGTAGGCTGCGGCAGCAATGTCAACTTCAAAGCACAATTATGAAGTTGGCTCGGCTAGTAATATAACATATGAACTTAAATCTCAGTGCGAAGGAACCGTGTCAAACCTGGGTGTCAGGTCTTGGTGTGTTGCATTTTCTCATGTTACAGACTGTCCGAAAGGCGAAGTTAATGTTGTTGCAATTAGGGCACTTCCAATCATTATCACGTCCAGCTCCTAAAATAGTTCAAGAGAAGCGGCAGAGAATAAATCTGAGTGCCAACAAAATTGATTGACCAGTGAAAAGGACAATGCAAATTTATACCAGCAGATTTCTTCTGTGAGCCTTCGTCAGAATAGGAACCAGCCCTTGTGCCCTACAAGAGAAAGAAATAAAGGACATGCAGATTGCTTAGCATGGTCAATCACACCAAAACAGCAAGAACAATGAGAAACAACCTTCCCACACAACATAAATAGAAGGCACAAAAGGTAGCAGCAACCAATTGAGGCGATGTAACTCATATTAATATGTACAGGAGTAAATTACCATTGCCCCAGGACCAGCGGGTGAGCCCAAGCCATATCTATCCATGGGCATGCTGATGCTGTACATTCCACCTATTTACAGGGAAATGAAATTCAAAAACGAATGTTAGAAACACTGTAACAACATTTGGGTCAGATCTAAAAACACCTATTCAACAAGCATCAGAGACAAGAACTGACTCAAATAAAAAACCGAGAAATCAACAAGTAATTTATCCATTAAAGACAAATGTTGTACAGTAGAAGTGTAGAACAATATATAGTATGCATAGAAATATGAAACAATTCCTTATTTAACACCATCTTAAATTTCGCTTCCTCATTTGACACCGAAAAACTTTTCTAACCTATCTAACAACGAGTCTAAATTTTATGCCCTTTATGACACTTCCGTCCATTTTAAGCCTAAATGACACCTGAAAAGACCCTTTTGCCCCTCATGTTGTATGTGTGTGCAGGGCAGTAGCACACACACACGCAGCGGCACATACACACGCAGCAACACACATGCACGCGCGCGCACAGAGCAGCACAGACGCACGCAGCACGCACACAGCAGCACACACCGAGGAAGACACGCAGCAGCACACACCGAGCAAGACATGCAACACCACACACGCACAAACCCAGACAGCATGCATCAGTAGCACACACGCCGCGCACGCACACACACTCACAAACACGCGCGCGCGCACGTGCGCGCGTGTAACATCAGCAGCACACATGTGCGCGCGTGTAACATCAGCAACACACACGTGTGCGCGCGCACACACACGCAGCAGCACGCGCGCGTACAAACATACCATGTAAGGGGCAAAAGGGTCTTTTCAGGTGTCATTTAGTCTCAAAATGGACAGAAGTGTCATAAAAGGCATAAAAATTTAGACTCATAGTTAGATAGGGAAGAAATCATTTGTCAATGTCAAATAGGGCATAAAATTTAAACACTGTGTTAAATAAGGAATTCTCTCTAGAAATATATTGGACGTGCTACTATAATTCCTGGCAAGTAAGTTCAGACAAATAAATAGTTGTGTTTTTCTTTTACATATCAGATACTGCTTATTGCATTTGAACAGCTAATCACATGACAAAGTAGCGCTACCACAGAGTAACAGAGATATCATAGCCATCTTACCTGCACCAACCATAGAACCACTAGAATATGGGGGTGGTGCCGCCATATGCATTGGCCCATAGGGGCTCCCCATCGGGACTCGCCCGCCATAGCCATACGGATATCCAGAGCCCGGAGGGAGCTGAGGAATGCCATAGCGTGGCATGGGATGCCCATTATAGAGGTTGGAGCCATACGGGGGAGGAGCCCCGGTGAGGTACATGGACGGAGGCGTCCCCGGCGGCATGTACCGCCCCGGCACCGAGTAGTGGGGTGGAGTCTGCATAGCCTTCTAGGCAAAAAGCAACAGCGGCACTAGGTAAATGCAAAACACCCAGCACATAACATGATTGAGTCGAGAACAGCAAGTAGGAGATGCGAGTACCGTGTGATCTGCGGGCCTGGACTGGTCGCAGTTGCGCATGTTGCAGGTGGTGCGGAATGCGAAGTTGACGTTGTTACAGCTGGGGCAAATCCAGTCGTCCTCACGCCGGCTACCTGAACGCCGGTCGTGCAAAACAGGCAAATCATGTCAGGCGCTGCTCACAGAACGGGGCGGAAACAGATGAACGAACGGAACAGCTTGAGCAACCTACCGTCTGTGCGCGCGCGCTTTCCAGCGGACTGGATGCGGTTATTCATCTGCAAACGCAAAGGGGAGATGAACACGGCTAAGGATTTGGTGTCGCATCAGGGTTTCGCCCCGCGGCGGGTGGACCTCGACAGCAATTCGAGCGAGCCACAATTCGATCTGGGAAGACGAAGTGGACTCACCTGAGAAGACATTGCTGGTGGTGGGCGAACCGAGAACAGCAGCCGGCGAGCGCGAAGACGTCCGCGAGACGCACGGGCGGAGGGGAATCCGGCGGCGAGAGAGGGGAACGCGTCGCCGGTCTAGGGTTTTGACGTCTTGTCGATACTGGTTTGGTGGCTGCCTCCGCGTTGGACGCTGTATATTACGGCGTATGCCGAGCTGCCTCCGTTTGGGCCCTTCTACCTTATTAGGCGCAAAAAATATTCAGGCCCACTTTACAATCTCCCCAAAAGAGAGTTCTATCCTATTACTCTCTTAAACAAAAAAGTGGGCCTCTTTGGTTCACATGATTTGTAAAAGGTTGCAATAGAAAAGGGAAAATGTTTGTTTTCATCCGGATGAAAACAAACAAACGTAAGCCGCGCGTTGTGCTGGACACGTGTCTTGTGGGCCCATCCACCGCTCCCCAGCCGGCCTTATCTCTTCGAACCCAATCTTCTTCACACGTTCTCATGCATTGCTTTTCTCCTTTCCCCCATCTCTGTGTCGTCACACGCGAGAAAGGAGATAGGCTCCCATGGCGGACGCCGGCAACCCTGC